TCAGCCGGGTGTGAATTCACATTTTCTCCAGTGAATTTTGGACCCGTCTGAAAGTTTTGTTGTTGTTTTGTTTCCTTCCTCCAGCGATACCATGTGTCCTGTGTCGAGGAAAACCGATTTGCAAAAATAATGAGACAATATTTTGGAAACAAAAATGACAAATATGACTCAATGAGCAAATAAAAGCTTCAGGTTCACAGCCAGCTGTCAAAACACCAGAGGAAAGTGGGTTTCAGTTTCATATCATTATTTTTGAGAAAGAAAAATATTGCTTACTGTAATTGTGGAAATGTAACTAAAGACTGTTTACAGATCGACGTGAAGTGCCTTTTTCTGGTGAGATGAAATGAGATAAGCAGCTTAAATGTTCTACAGCTGCAAACCTGGAACAATTTAATCTGAAAATACAATAGTAGTAGATTTTAAGTCAGGAGTAACAACTGGCTGTTGGAAAGGAAAAGAGAAACGAATTGAACTGTGATTATTTTTAAATGATGAGTATGTTATGGATTATGTTCACATAAAGAAGGCACAGAGGACTCTGTAAGTGTTGTTGATGTAAAAGTTTCTAACAGAAGGATCTGAGAGCAACTTGAGGTGGGACACCTTGGCTACCCGATCTAGCCCATTGTACTGTAGTACTTACACAGCATTGTTCAGTACTGTGTGGGGGATGAGCTGTTTTATAGCCTGGGCCATAGTGCAGTACCTCTATCAGAAGGGTTTTTTTTGTTTTTTGTTCTTAACTATGAAATCTGTCTCTGTAGGTGAGCATGAAACATCTTGACAAATTTGTAATTAATTATACAATAAATGCAATTTTGAAGCAGAAAAACAACCCCTCAAAAAACATCAATGAAAAATAGTACAATGTACCATTTTACAATAAATTATTTTTCCGTATTCATTTTTATGGATGGTTTTTTCCATATTTTTTAACCAGTCATTGAATTTTACCAATTACAGTTTAGCAATATGTCCATAAACTTCCATTTAAAAAAAGAACATATACAAAAAACATATATAATATCACTATAATTTCTCCACAGCACTTTATACTTTCAATCAAATATCTGCAAAATTGATGCCCATCACACTCAGCTGCAGTTTTCTGCCTCATATACTTACACAATACTTTTAAAAGAAACACTGTTGGCATTTCCGTCAAAGCACAGCTGTGCACTCAAATCTGCTTTCAACTCTATAATTTGAATACTTCTTTTTGGTTTATATTTTTACACAGTTGATATTTTTTTTTGTCTTTGTCGATGGAGCTGCGTCGTGGAAATGTGGCTTTATCATCTCACTGTTTTTTTTAATCTCCTGGCAGCCGTGCATCGAGCCTTTCTCCCTGAGAGCTCTCGCTGAGCAGAGAATGTGGAATAACCGAAATAAATAAATAAATATTTCTGCAAACCAAGCTCAAAACTACGGGCTCACTATACGCACACAGCGGCTAGGAGTCGGAAATGAATAATTGATGAGGCAGGTTAGGCAGTGTGTTGTAATGATAAAGAGTTAAAGATGTAGGTGGAAATTCAATCAGGATCTCAGAGCTGAGCAGAGGTGCTACCCGAGGGAGAAAAGAGGTTGCAGGAGGAGAAGATTGCTCAGATAATTTTAGAAGGTTAGGCTGTCCGGATGGGGCTTCATGAACATCTGAGCATAGCTACAGAATAATTAACCTGCACTCACAAACATGAGCACATGATTCTGACTTAATGATGACAAACATGAAAGCAGATGAGGCTGATTTTGCTCAGCAGCCTGAGCTCCTTCACCCTTTTCAGTGAGTTTGTTCAGTGTCTTTTCTTTAATTCTTATCTCTGCACAACCTTACATACATTTACTGTTTAAACATTAACTGGCTAAATTCTTGGGGCATTTAATATATATTTGATTTTTCTCTCCTTTGAACTAAATTTAATTTAAATTTATTAGCATTTCTTCCACTGCCATCATATTCTTTGCATTGCAGCAGCTCTGAGGACGGCATTTAGAGCGTGAATTCAAATCATCTTCTCCACCAAAGAATGACATTGACGAAACGCCCTCGATCAGGCCAAGAATTTGTATTTGAATAACTGCATGTATTACTAAAGAAGAGCTCATTTTTATAACCGTGTCTGGGCACAAATTTACATTGTAACACAGTCAGTGTAAAGTATTTTCACCTTCATCAGACAGAAATATTCACCCTTACACATTATCCCTACCAGTGTTGGTCAAGTTACTTGAAAAAGTAATCAGTAACTAAAGTAATCCCATTACTTTACTGATTACTTATTTTCAAAAGTAATTAATTACTTAGTTACTTTTAAAAAACACGATTTACAACCTGAATAGGTGATAAAGCGATAGATCTTTCAGCTCAATTCTACTTTTTCTGCATAATCCATCATACAAAATGTAATCAAATGGAAAAGTTCTTTTTTTTTAACTTGTTTTATTAGTTTTAATCTTTTAACTTTATGCATCAAGCAAAAATTAAATTATATGCAACATTCTCTGACTGGAAGAAATTTGTTTAATATTTAAACCTATTTTCTGCACATTCCAGCACATAATTATTTTTTTTGTGTGTTTACACTCAGTCTTTCAAATAGATGCAAGTAAAACACAGCAGAAAATAAATAACATCAAAGACTCAGCGGTCCTTTTGCTCTATTTTCACCTGTAAAGCAGGAGTAGGGTAGACGGAGGTGTGCTCTGGCGCAGCGGTCAGTGGAAGGATACGGCAGCTTCTCTGTGAATTTCACATTACGTCGTTGGGCACTCGGTGCTTGTTTAGGGTTTTTTTTTCGCTGTAATAAGAAGTTTTCTTCCCACGCACAACGGATGCTAATGTTTTTGTCACTTTTTATGGAATCAAACTCAAAATAAGGTCAGTACTTCCACGCTTTAACACTGCACGCTCAGACTCTCTCCGCACTGGATATATGATCCATTGTTGATCTGCACACAGCTGTTGTCAGGAACATCGCACTCACCTACGTCACTGTCATGAGACATTCTTGCAAAAAAAATCACGGTTTTAGTAACGCAGTAATGCAGCGTTCCTACAGGAAAATAACGGTAATCTAATTACCGTTTTTGCAATAGTAATCCCTTACTTTACTCGTTACTTGAAAAAAGTAATCAGATTACAGTCTGCCCATCTCTGATCCCTACACACAGAAACCAAAGTTTGCCTCAGCTTTACTTGCACATTTGGACTATGGTCGAAAACACGTCAGAAAAGCCCAACAGAGTCAGAATCTCCCCATCCATTTATTTTTAAATGAAAGCTGAATTTTTAAGCATCTTCGAAAGCCTCAGCAGAATGACAACAAGCGGCTTCACAAGGGAGATTTGGTGGGTCAGACTTCAACCACATCTGTATTTCTTTCCATGTCAGCACTGTGTACAAAATATGATTTATTAACATCTGAATTTGTGATTAACTGCTTGTGAAAACAGGAAAAGAAACCAAAAGGAAAGGATACACTTTCTTCCAAATGTCCCAGCTGCTCTTATATTTGCCCCCTTTTACTAAGTTTTAGGAACAAGGATCAATTATTTAATACCACTTGGAGCAAACTGGTTGAGGTTAAGATGTTGAGATCTCTTCTTTTTAAAGTTACAGACTGTTTTAATATGAAGGTGCTGGAGAAAATGTTTGCTGCACTATGTCTTTTCTCTCAAACGCACTCAGTTTAGATCCCAGCGACACACTGTGCGAATACCAACAGTGACCTATAAGACATGCAAATCGCAAGTGCACACACACACATGCACGCACACAGCTCTTCCACTAACAGCATCAAAAAGACTGAAAGCTTTCTGATTTTCTAATGTTGAAATGAACACTGAAAAACCCTTGAAGGCAAGAAAATCTATAAAAATATGATCAATTTATCTTTAAAAATTAAAGTTAAATCTGGATTACATCAAAAAAGGGTGGGTGCGGGGGTATATGAATGAAGCTCAGCCAAGAGTACTGACATCTGAAACTTGGTTAGTGGGGCATCTGCTTTAATAACGACAATAATATATCAACACTGGGGAGTCCGTGTGTGCACCGACAGAGCGCCATCATGCGGTGAAACGAGAAGCTGGGCGAGTATAAAAGCCTCCAGTGCGAGGATGCTGACAGAAGCGGCAACTGCATCATGTCAGACTTCGGCCTGAACGCGCCAAAGTAGGTGGATGCGGATTAATCAGCTCTTTCTTTTGTTTTTTCAATATCTCAGACATTTCCGACTGGAAACCACAAACAAACAAAAGATTCAAGCAAAAGAAGAAGAAGAAGAAACGCGCATTTTGGAGCTCTGATCTCTTTTAATACTGAATGCATGAGGAGAAAGAGATGGGGATTTTTGAAGCCGCACCTGCGCACCTGCGATCTCGAAGTTATCCCGGTGGAAGAAGTGGATAGTTTTGCGAAGTAGCTCGCCCTCTTTTCCCTTCCCCGCCTGCAGCCGAGTCATGCAGGTCGACAACAGCAGCTCCTCTGGAGCTCTGACAGGGCTGTGCGGAGGGGAAGAGGATGAGCGCAAAATCTCCGAACTGGTCAGCCCTACGGGTGCAGCCTCCTCTTTTAACCTCTCATTAAACTGCTGGCTTCACATACTCTCTCAGGAGTCCTCGTTGGATCTGCACGGAGACAGCGCCAATCTGGCAGTAGGTTTGCTTACCTTCTTGTTGTTGTTTTTTGTTTTTTTTCTACAAGTCCAGTTGGATCAGATTAATAAAAAATGAAACGGTAATTGTGCATGAATCTTGGAGATAATGTTGTTTCTTTATTCTGAC